TTGATTTTTGAATAGTGATTTGATGGGAAATGTGTGGTTGAAAAAGAAGAAAAAAGTATTGATGTGATGGAAAATATTATTTTATTGAAGAATGTGTGGTTGAAAATGAGAATTGATTTACTGTAGAAAAGGAGAATCTGTACCAAACAGGCCCTTAAAGTCTGTTTGAGTCACATTATAATCTAAGAATGTATTTTAGAATAGTAGATTGATGGAGAATATATGTGGTTAAAAAATAAGGAATATTTTACGTTTGTGTGCAATTTTATTTTATTTAAGAGTGTGATTGAAAGAAATAGAAAAATATGTTCTGGAAATAATGGGAATCAAACAAGGCCTTATAACAATTTATATATTTCAGAATTTCCACCGCTATTCATCTTAAAAAGTAATTAATAATCAGCCCCAAAAGTATGCTAGAGTGACGAACAAAGTGTATCAAACATGACTTTATTATTTATAATACAAATGATTGATCTCACCGAGCAAAATATATAGAATTTCTCGTGTCTAATGTCCATTGTAAATTCAATCATTCTTTAGTAAGATGTTATTGCTCCAATATTTTTGAAATTTACTTCAAAGTGAATTTGAAATGTAAATATTTTCAAAGATGCATGGATTGAAAGGAAATTTAAGAAACTGAGAGTTCTAAATTGTACAAATAGGATTGCTTTTATTCATCGGGTACTTTCTAATGCGCATAAACGGATATAATCTTATTTTCATTTAACAGCAAATATGAACTATTCATGAAAACTATTCGATTCTATGTTCTCTAAAATTAGTGCACGTCTGGGAGCTCCTTTTACCAAATCTTAATCAGAAATTCAATTGTTATGCAGTATATGGTGTCAGACAATTGCCATAATGGATTGAGGGTGTAGGTAAGATATTACGAAAAAAAAAAAATCCTTTGTACTATGGTGTGTATGTGAGATTTTTATAAAAGAGACGTATTAAAGCAACAAGCCGTGCATAAATTAGAGAGATTCAATTCATTTCAGAATTTCAAGAACCAGATATTGAATAACGGATATGTTATTGCTTAAATTCTATAACAATTGCTCTCAGACAAGGTTAAAGATGGTTAATTTTATGCAAATTTTTGGTATACATTTTCGACATATAAAAATTTATCAAATTTAAATGTATTTTTCATCGTCTCAATTGTTTATAGAGACTACTACTTATATGTTAATTTTTAAAGAATAGTTGAAATAACTAATTTCTTTACTGAAATTCTTGATTTATACCTTAAACACATCAAAATAGGGGCATCCAGAACGGGAATAACAAGGCCCAAAACCTGCGCAAAAACAACAACATCAGACTCGCTACAAAACTGCCATACTGAAATAACGAATTGACTCGACAAGGAAACCAAGTCATAGGGTTGCGACATTTGGAGAAAAATNCAAGTCATAGGGTTGCGACATTTGGAGAAAAATAATAAAGGAAAACTCGTATTTACAAATCCTAATTATTGAGTGGATGAATTATAATCTTCTTATTTCATTCTCTAATTTGCTTCTGTGGGAGACTTTCTGGCTTCATCATCAAGAGATTCAACAAAGGACTCCATCTGATCCTCAGCTTCTTGAACCTGCATATTTTTAATTTTAAGTCATTAATTGGTTCGTACAAGTTCAACCTAGGAGCCCTAGAGGGACATATAAATAAATAAATAAATTGGAACCCAAAGAAGAAACAGTAGAAGAAAATGGACTTGTCATTCGATATGAATTTAATATTAGCGAGGAAAAATGACTAATAATTGTGAATTATTTGTAGACGTCGCTCAATTTTATTTTGTTACAATAATTTATAATTTAGTTTGAATCAAAGTCACTCCGTCCAACCAAATTAACTTGAAATACGAAAAAAACTGACATGAACATTGACATTATGAAAATAAATCTTATGCGGATGCAAATACTGAAAAATGTCGTATTTTACTTTACTAAACTAACAAATTCAGATGAAGCGCTGCAAAATTATAAATTTGTTTAGTGACTCGATATTGTCACGTGTCTAAACTTGATACTTTTAAAATATTAATCGAAAAAACTACCGAGTCGAGGCTAAGACAAAATGATGTTTATTATTTAAAAAACAATTAGGTGTACCTTGTCGATTAAATCTCCAATGGAATCAGCACTCTTAGCTGTTTTCTCAGCCATATCTTCAACATAATTTACAATATTTTTGAGCTGTCCTTCAGGAAGATCATCCATTATATCATCTGCTATTTTATCAACTTTTTCAGCCACTTTTTCCACCACTTCCACTATTTGTTCTACTTGTTCCACAGCATTTTCAATTCTATCTGCACATTCCAAGATTCTCAAAAAAAGCTAAACGCTTGTGTTGTAAAAGAACAGCAAGACGCACTCTCAAGTTCTAGGTTGTGGTGAAACTCGACGTTCGTCTATTTTAATACCATGTTGTCGATATTTATATATTCGACTGTACATAATGGAGAAAGTCTTACTTTTAAGAACCCCCAGTTGCCCCAATTTGTGTGTAAAAAAGGGTAGAACTACTGATACCAAAATACCCAGAATCCAGCTCCAACTGCATGAAGAAATTTAGCAGAATATTTGTATTAATATTAGATCAATAGATTAGATATAAGAATAATTATGAATTTACTGTTTCTATACATGAAAATTAACTCACATGGAGTTGGAAGGTGGTCCAGAAGGCAAGGGAGCTCCGGGTACACTGCTAGCATAAACGACAATGCTCCTAAAACAAAATGAAACATATTATCGATAGAAACATTGACACGACTAACAAGGAAAAAAGTTAAAATCCCGTTTATTTTCTTGTCCATTAGCAGAGACGGATTCAAGATCGAACTACAAGTCGAGGCTAATACGTAAAAGAAAAAAAAATTGACACAACACACAAAAATAATTAACGGGACAGGGACTGGCCAGGCCCCTAAATCCGTCTCTATCCATTAGTACTCGATCTAATTAAACATAACCGAACAAGATAATCGATCCAATAACCGAAACTACTTACCTTGTGTTCTTGTTATTGCATTCCACTGAACTTTTGCTCCAAAAACAGCATTGATCCTTCTGTTTTGAGAAACCCAACTTTGAAATGGGATTCCAGGACAAAGTTTGAACCCTAGAATTAGACCTAACATGGAAGCCAGTACTTAAACTGGATCCAACAATAAAGCTTGCCATTGAGTTGACTAAATTAAGAATGTTTAGCTGTTAGAAACTTTGTGATGAAAACCTAAGATTTGTAGTTGCTAATGTTAATTCTTAGTCATCAACAAAGGTCTGTATATATAGGAAATAAAGTTTGATGAAATGGTCTTCTTTCTTGGAAAAAGAGTGAAAACTTAAATTATACAAAACATTAAAAAAATGAACCTAAAAGAGCACATGCCAATGAATTTTGAAATTGTTGAATATGCCAACCTGGCCCACATGGTAATTATAATTAAAAATTACTCAATTTATATATTAATTTATAACTTTAAATTGGTACATCGTTGGATAAATTCAAAATACTTGCTTAGAAATAAGTCTATTGATCAATAAATAAATCTACCATAAAAATGTCTTTTTCGTTTGTTAAATTTAGACATAAACAAGTTACATATTTTGACAAGTTTTACGTTACCGTTAAAATGAGTAATTTTTTAGTTATAATTATAAGTGAAAAAATAAAATATCAGAATATGTTTTTTTTTTTTAAAAAAAAAACACTTATCTAACATGTAAATTAAATCTTAATCTAAATGCGACGATGATAAATTTTGTAACGCGTCTCTCTTTTATTGTATTTTGATATATCCAATCATGTTTTATTCACATTATAAGCACTTAAAATGTAGTACCAAAATCTTTGATATTTTTTTGTATCTCGACTTCGATGCATGGTTTGACTTTCTAGGAAATATTTTAATCTTGGTGTTGATATTAGTAATTTCTTGGCGCCTTCGTCTATACTTATGTACGTTATTTTTAATATTTTTAAACGGAATAATTTCATACTTTAACTTGTACCTAACAACATGTTTGGCCATTTATTTTCCGTGGAAAACGTGTTGTACAATTTAAATTTGAAGCACTTAACTAGTGATTATAACAATTGAGTATTCGGAAAGATAGATATATAATAGTCGAATCAATAAAATGTGATAAAATAAGATTGAAGTAAAATAGAATATTCGAAGTTAAGGTAGTGACATATTCGACTTTAATGTTATAATAAAAAATGAACAATATAATAGGAAGCTCAAGAGAAGGGTTATCATCATCGTACCTTTTGTTGGGAATGAAGACAATTTTTGTTTTTTATTTTCCCATATGATTTTTATTTTTATTTTTATTTGATGTTTAGGGAAAAATAGCAAACGAGAAAAATATAAAAATAAGATGAAAAATTTATGGACGGACAAAGCTCTCACTATATGAAAATTTTGTATAACATACAAAATTTCACTCACAAATTATTGTAAGAATTTCATCGGCATGTGTTGAAAAAACTTATTGAAAATTTTAAGTGCAACCCTCTTGCTTGATTTTCAAGAGAGTTCATCTGTCATTTTGCATCAGTTCCACACAAGTCCCCACACCATACATAGTGGTCAAGCAATGACCATGGGCAAATATGTGTACCCGCTAATAGTAATAACATCATCTATTATGCGAACTATCGCATGTTATGAGGATGTAAATCTTACAAAAGTGGTTTTATCACCGTTTCCCTTGAAAGAGAGACACATTGTTTGACTTCGATTAGTTAGACAAGCGTGTTTCACCTTTTGATTAGAATTTCCTGACATGATCAGTTTATCCATACTTGATTTATATCATGTTCGAGCCCTCATTTTTATTCTAAGAATGCATTTTGAAATAGTAAATTGATGAAAAATGTATGATTAAAAAATAAAGATTTTTTTGGATTGTGTGTAATATTATTTTATTGAAAAGTGTATAAATGAAAATAAGATACAGAAAAATATATTATGAAAATAATAAGAATCAAAAGATGGCTTAGTTGGTCTTCTTTTTAAGGTCACGTGAAGTCCAAACCAACTCAGCAAATCCTTGACTTGTAGTCATTATAAACCAAAATTGATTCTCCTAAAAAATTTCTCTACGTTTTATTTTATACTTGCCATATTTCTTTGCTCCAACATTCGGCATCACAGACATCTATTACCTTTTGTTGGGCATTAAGACAAATTTCATTTAGAGCATATTTGAGCCTCATTTCTTTTTTTTTTTTCTTTTTTTAAAAAATACATTTTGGAATAGTGATTTGATGGAGATTGTGTGGTTAAAAAATAAAGAAACTTTTGAATTTGCGTGTAATAATATTTTATTGAAAAATGTGTAATTAAAAATAAGAGATAAAAAATGCATTTTAAAAATAACGGGTACCAAATGAGGGCTTAATTTAGTTTCAAATTTCACTAATGTGTCTTATTACATCACCTAATGTCCCCAAATTCATAGAAATGTTAGTTGGTAGCCATACTAGAAGTGATTTTTCAACTAATTGCTTAGTGATACCTTTAAGGAAGAAAAAGATAAAATGAGAGTTACAACATTTTTTGATTAAAAGATTATAGCATGGCTGTCAATTAAGTAATTGAAATAATTTGAAGTTCAATGACCTCAATTGAAACTAAATTGAAGTTCAATAACTCAATTGAAACTAAACTGAATTTTAGTGACTTAATTGAGAATTTTTTGACAGTTCAGTGACCGCAAATGAAGTTTACTCTCTTAACAGGGCAAACCCTAAATACACGTATTCTGGAATTTTAGCCCCAAATCCGCTCAAAATTCAGTCTAGTTCCACAATTTTTTTTCTTTTTGCAGCGACAAACAGGTAAATACCAAAATATATTTTTTAGTATATTTTGTGGCATGGATTTTCTTGATTTTTCTCAAATTAATCATTCTTGTTCCTGTAATTTTGTTTAGATACTTGACTTTTTCAGGCTCCGAATTATTTTGAATAGTTTCTGATTTTTCTGCATAATTTCAATGTGCATAAGTAATATATAATAATGCTTCTAATTCTGGAACAGAATTTGTTTTCAAAATAGAATAAATGGAAACAACAGCATCCGAGCCCAAGTCTTTGCCCTCTCATCATGATCTTCTCAAGCAGGTATATTAATCTTTTTTGCTCACTTTTTATCTGAATGCTTTAATTGATTTATGCACGTATATTATATGCTGTGATGAAAATATTAATGGGTTCCAGTGGTGGAATTCATAGATGAGGAGTCACGAGGTTGCTGTAGCGGAGCTAAATAATCTTTCTTCGTCTCGGGTATGTTTGTATTACCATAGAGATTACAATTTTCATTATGTTGGGTTGTTTCGCATGGAATCCAACAAAAGAAAAGCTCACAGGCATATTTAGCTAAGTTTTAAAATAATTAAAAAATATTTACGTTTAAGTAACTTTTCGTTTGGATAACTTGCATTTTTTCTTAAACTCTTTCCTTAGTGTCAAATTAACTTATTTTCTTATTAGTAATCTTGTGATAAGCAAAATTTATTAGCTTAGCCAAAATGCTCCATGTATGTTACGTTTTGATTGATTTGTTATGTATAGTTTGTTCATGGAATTATCTGGAATATTTTTTGAGGAAACTTTTAGACACATGGAGACAGTAATGTGAGTATTCTAAGGAAAACTTCCTTTGTTCCCTTTTTCTATATAAATAGAAGTTCAATTAGTGCTCAGTCCAATATTGTTACATTTATTTAATCCATTGTGAGTTGAAGAAGGAAAAGGTCGGGAAACTGGTATAATCTGTTGATATTCTTTACAGGGACATCGTTGATAGTTTTGCTTGGGATATAGGTGGTTTCAAAATTAGTTAATGCGTGCATACATCCATACGTGTACTTAGCATAAATGTTCGGAGATATCACCATTTCTATTTGAGATCTTTTAGGACATAATGACTTGTTAATTAAGATCAAGGACATCAAGGATTTGTTGATTAGTTGTCAAGGGGGCTTACCAAACTCCAAAGATAGATGTGCAGTTCTTATAGATTCTGTTATTCACTAAGTGATATATTGGAAGGAGAGGTGAGAAGATGCTCGGTGACTCTTTCAATGAAATATTAGGACCACGTTTGGCAAAGCATAGAGATAATGCTCGGTGACTCTTTCAATGAAATAATAGGACCATGTTTGGCGAAGCGTGAAGATAATTTTTTTTCTTACTTTAAAGTAAATAGGAATGCTTATTTTGAAGAAAAACTGACGCAATAATTAACTTATTCTCCATTTTGACCATTAAAAAAAATTACTTATTATTTAAGTTAACTTCTTTTGCTTAGCCAAAAATGCCCTACATTCTCAAATGAAGCTCTAGAAATAAAATGTTGAAAGACTTCTTTTGGATCATCAAAATTGAACCAAGACAATATGTACCATTTTGTCATGATAGTATGAATTGATGATATGCTATGCCTTTCCATATAGCATGAGTCATTCATTCAACAGGGGAAGGGCATAATTTATTTGGAAGAGATTCCTTTTATGTTTAATCTCATTTTCTCAATTTCACAATTATTCTGCTATTGTTAGAAGTGCTCAGATAGACAGATAATATTTAGCCCATGTTTGACCGTCATTATTTTCGAACTCTTTTTTCTACATATTCGTTTATAATCATACATTCACACAATAAAATATTCTACACGTAAACTCAAAACATTCTCCTACCTTTTAACCACACATTCTCCTAAAAATCACTATTCAAAATATTGTTTTCCCATATAATAGTTGTCAAACTATGGCTTAACTTCTTATACACTTTCCAAAATCCTGTTTCTGAAACTTAATCTCCAATCAATTGTTTTGGGTTTTGCACCTCGTAGGTATTTGAATTTGAGCTGAATCTGTTGAATTCCTATTTCACTTTTAAGTTCTACTGTTCATGGAGCACGTAGTATTGGACAAGATTGGATGATACAGTGAACAATAATACAAGTTTTTTTTTATTTCATAATACTATCTAGTGTTGGCCAATCCATCTTACCGAACGTCCGAACATATCATTCTTGTGTAGTGTTCCTTATCTGGACTTACAATAAGCTTTAATCAACTTAATGGGTGAATAAAGTTAAGTGATTTCTTTTATGACTTGAGTTGTAAGCCAAGTCGCCATAGATAATGATGATATGTGAGAAACATGTTTTCAAATGCTTAGTCGTCCTTGTGAATAAAGATTTGGAAACTTAACTTCAATATTTCCTAATTACTTTTTCTGTAAGAATATAAAGAGATATAATTCTCATCAAAATTCCCGTACTTAGTGATATTGACGTGTGCAATTGGGGTAACATCTTGAGCAGTTTCTGTAGTCGATATTCAACCAGAAATTCGTGTTGGCTTTTTTAGCTTTTAGAGTCAATTGGCTGTTCAAGATTTTGAAATTCTTTAGTTTGGACTTTTGGTTGTGCTTAAAAATTACTTTTCTGTGACTGTGGTACTAATCGAGTGCAAAATGTTTTAGTACGACGAAATCATTTTGTCACTTGATTGTAGGCTGTCTATCAAAGAAATGGGAATATATTTTTCCGTACGAGCATTCAGAAGGCAAAGGAATTCGAACAGAGTAAGTATACACACCCTTCATCACATCTCATTATTTGGGTTTGTTGTTCTGTGGATATTGTTATTGTTGTTTGTTAATTTTTGGCCAGAACAATTGGATATTGCCAAAGCTAAGCTACAAAAGCCGAGTTCGAGTTGATGATGAGTTGATAGCATCATCAAGCCACTGCAACCTCCAATGTTGCTGGTATTGTTGTTCGGAAGAGAGAAATTATGTAGAACTGAAGGGAAAAAATATAAATTCCTTCAACAAATTTGGACAGTGCTCTTAGGGAATCGATACATTTGATTATGAAGATGAAACAAGAAGTACTTCCGTAGTACGTCTACCTATTCTGTTAACTATTAGAAGTTTGATTTCAAGTCTTTCGGATTTTCTTGCTGGTGATCTTGTGTCGTAATGCATGATATGGATTCTCAAGTATTCTATTAGGTCATGTTTGGTTTGTAGTGTTAGACGAGACTAGAAAGTAGAATTGACAAAGTTTAGTATTTTTTCTTACTTAATAATACTGTCAATATTGTTTACAAAACATGTCCTTTGTTCATATCTGTTTTAATTTTAGATGTCAGCCATATGTGATATGTATTGTAGTCTCCTTTAAATGCGAAGTCCAGAATTTGTAGGAGATTTCGAACCTGATGCATACACACGTGCCCCGATATATTTTTTTTAACGATGCTGTAAGTTTTACCTTCTTGTGAAAATAAATAACGTATTTTTAACTTTAACATAAAAAAATTACTAGTTTTAATTCATTTACTTATAACTGAACTTTTTATATTCGTCGGGAGGTTCTCGATGTTATGACTTAAGAATCTGGTTGTTTTAGTTATTTCAATTATTTTATTAATGAATTTAAATGGGATGAAAAATAAAATTCGTTGAACCAACTTTAAATTATTGAGATTAAGATTTACCCTCGAGTATTTCATCAATATTTCTTTATCACACAGTAAATGTAGGATTAAGGGGTTGTTTGACAAAATTTTTGATAAAATTTTTAGTAGAATTCGATGAAAATTGATGAAATTTATAGTTGAGAAATTGATAAAGGTTATAATCCCAACAAATGTGATATTAAAATGAATTATTGGATTTGACCTTTTTTTTTTTAACTTTTAAGATCTCCCAAACAAACATCGAGAGTACAACCCGAAACACATAGATGCAGATTCAACTACTAAAGCATGTGGACCAAAATGTTTTGATTAAGAAATTATCTTAACATATGGTGTATTCTTTATGAATTTAGGGGCCTGCCAGGCCACTCACACTGACGGCCCCACATGTTAAAAAAAAAAAAAACACCCCCATGTATAGTGAGTGGCGTGGCAGTGAACCACCCCCTGTCTTCTACGTGTAGCATTATCACTGATTCTTTATATATGAAGATGTATTGATTCGATGAGATGAGAGAAAATAAGGCTCCATTTGATTTGCGTTTTAGTTTTCAATTTTGAGGATTTACGTTAGGGATTACTTATATAAGTTCATGTTTGGCCTCCATTAAAATTATAATATATTTTTCTCTTTTTTTTTCAATCATATATTCTCCAATAAAATAATATTACATGTAAATTAAAAAAAAAAAATCATTCCTTCTCAAATACTCATTCTTAAAAAAAAAATCATTTCAAAAATTATAATCTCAAATAATTGAGGTTAAACTGGGCTAAATAACTCGCACAAATAATACAAATTGTATTTTAAATGGGTTTGCTCCAGGCCGGACCGGTCCCGTGAACCGGTTTTCAATTTTAAATCGTTCCTCTTGTTTAATACAAGCAAACTCAGAATGCACAAAACTCAAAAGCCCTAACCTAATCCCCAAGCCCTAAACTCGCCTGTCACTGAGGATACAATTGAATCCGCCGTCAAGTTTCTTTGACCCTGATAAACCCCAAAAAAATCTGTAATAATTTAAGGAAAGCCCCAAAAGCCCCAAACGTTTGTGAAAAATGGGAAAAGCGAAAGATAAGAATGGAAGTGTGAAGCTGTTTGATGATGACAGTAATGGGTTGGATGATGACGTTTCGAAGATTGAGATTAATCAAGAATTTGCCCGTCGATACGAGCACAATAAGAAGAGGGAAGACTTGCAGAGAATCCAGGAACTGGAAAAGAAAGGGGTCGTCAGTTTTAGAGATGATGATTCGGAAGATTCTTCGTCGGAAGAAGAGGAGGAGGACATACTTATGACAAGTAAAAAGCAGGATTTGAAATTTTTTGATGCTTTGATTAAGGTGAAAAAACAAGATCCTTCGTTAAACAGTAAAGAGGCGAATTTGTTCTTTTCTGATTCTGAGTCAATGTCGGAGGATGAAAGTGATAATAAGAATGAGAACCGAAAGCTAGATAATAATAATGATGGTAGAAAGGGGAAGAAACCCATGTATTTGAAAGATGTTGTTTCAAAGCATTTAATTGAGGAGGGTCCGGAGTTCAATGATGAAGATGACGATGATGATGAAGATGTGAATAATAAGAATATTGATGGTAATGTGAAAGTAAAGAGTTTTTTGGAAGAACAAGAGGAGTCAAGGAGGGAGTTTTTAAAGGTGCTTGAGGAGGCTGCGAATGTTGAGGATGAGGAAGGGGATTTTTTGAGAGTGAAAAATGGCAATGGTAAAGGGGAAGAGGACGATGGTGAAATTGAGGAAAAGTTGGATGATTATTTTGGGGAGGATGAAAAGCTAGATGAGGACACTAAGTTCTTAAAAGATTATTTTAGGAATAAATTGTGGCTAGATGACAGTAAAAGTAATAATATTGTGGATGAGGATGTCGGGTTTTCAGAGGACGAGGAAGAGATAGTAAAGCAAGAGGATTTCGAGAGGGGGTATAATTTTAGGTTTGAAGAGAATGCGGGGGATAGGGTAATGGGTCATTCACGAAAAGTGGAGGGTTCTGTAAGGAAAAAAGAGAATGCTAGAAAGGTGCAGAGGGAGAGGAAGGAAGAGAGAATGGTGCAGGCTGAGTATGAGCGGAATGAGGAATTGAAGCATTTGAAGAACTTGAAGAAAAAGGAGATTAAAGAGAAATTGCAAAAGATTAGGGAGGCTGCAGGAATTAGGGAGGATGGCAATTATTTGTTGAATGAGGATGATTTGGAGGAAGAATTTGATCCCGAGGAGTATGACAGGAAGATGAAGGAAGCATTTGATAATAAATATTACAATGCAGAGGATATGGATCCAGAGTTTGGGAGCAGTAGCGACGAAGATGCGGCTGAGTATGAGAAACCTGATTTTGATGAGGAAGATAGGTTGCTTGGACTTTCAAATGGTTATGACGAGGTGAAGGAGACTGGAGATGGATTCTTGTCGGCCAGGCAAAGAATTTTGAAAAGTAAGGTGCATGGTGAAGATGAAAATCAGCTTGTAGAAGATGAAGGAAATGATCTTAAAGAGGGTAAGCGGAAGAGAAAGTGGAAGCCTAGTGAAGTGGAGAACGCAGTTAGAGAGCAATTGATGGAGGAGTATTATAAGTTGGATTATGAAGATACAATAGGAGACTTGAAAACAAGGTTCAAGTACAAACCTGTCAAGTCTAAAAGATTTGGATTGAGCACCGAGGAGATTTTTATGCTGGACGACAAGGAGTTGAATCAGTATGTTTCTATGAAAAAGCTGGCTCCTTATAGGGAGAAGGAATGGAAGGTGCCTCGTATTAAAACATACCAGCAAAAACTGAGGAACAGGGCACTTCTTGAAGGAGAGACATCAAATACTAATAACAAAGATAATAATAAGAAAGGACGTAATGGTATGGAAAAAACAAAAGTGGTTAGTGTGGCAGAAAATGAGAAATTACCAATGGAAGAATCAAATGGTGATACAACCAATTTATCCAGACGAATTAAGAGAAGGCGTCGTCAAGCAGAACTCAAACTGTCATATTCAAGGCTTATGGCGTATGGGAAAATCCATTCCAAGCCTAAGAGTGCGAAGCATTAGAACAGAGTATGGTCAAAAATTTCGCAATATTTCTATTGAAGGTAATACCAAGAGCTCAACTTGTGTTATTCTTGACCTATTATTCATCTTTTTCTTAGTTAGCTTTTTAGAAAACCTTGACCAATCTCTTAATACACAAAGTTTGACGAGAAATTTCTGTATAATAAAGTAAAGTTGAAGGAAGAAGATTATATTGAACATCAAAATTATGGTTATTAAAGCTTGTTTTGACATCAGACAAGTATCTGATAAAAGTAATTTTGGAATCCATTTGTGTTACAAATAACTTTGTAGTTTAGCCAATATTCTTAAGCTGAAAGAGTAATGCAAAACTAGAAAATGGTATTCAAAAAGTAGTGATCAAATATTTTCCAATTGAAACTGGAGTTATGCAGTGTCTTATTTCAGACATTCTCTTAAAAGCCATCTCTTTCCTGTTATAATCCTTAGTCTTGCAATCTGCAAAAGATGACAAGTTTTATCAATAGAAAAAATCAAACAGTTACTGAATGAAAAACCTATTTTCCATATTACAAGAAGTAATTAGTGTTTGTGTGTGTGATGTAGGAAAATCCTATCACAAACAGGACGGAATTATTTCTTGTTGTAATAAGATTTTATTTCTTGTTTAAATTAGTATTTTTTACTCTTTTAGATTTTTAATCATTTTTTATTTTAGGTTTTAATTATATATCTTCCTTAAGCTACTAGGATTAGGAGATTATTTTGCCTATATGAACAAAGACTTCAAAATTATTTCAATGATCGATTCATTACAATAAAGTGTTCTCTACAAATTTTCGAGAACTCTAATCTTGTTTTAAGAACTTCAATTTTGTTTCCGCACCAACACAAAGAGCACCTGAAAGCATTTAGCTTTTGTGATCCCATTTCAGTGCAGAAGTCTCAAAGGGTAAGTTACAGATCTACAAATATGCAGGTACTAAGTTGGATAGGCAGAAGGTAATAAGAGCCAATTTACAGATAGGATTTGACTTAGGGTCTGGCCATTATGATTTCCCATGCAGCCATTTTGTCTTAAGAAAGTGATGGTTTTATGGAATTTGGAGAAACTTCTTATTGAGTTTAGGCTTGCTAGTGCTCTAATTCAGTAACCAGATCCATGCATTGGCAAGCAGTTTCTCAAATGATGATTTTATTCATGTTTGGCTGAGCTTAAGAAGAAAGTAAAAGTTAGCTTTTGTTTGCAAACATGTTTATACGTCTTACTATTTCTTAAGTTGTTTTAAGTTAAGAATGTTTCTTATTATGATAGTTTCTTTTACTTTACTTCAAAATAAGCAACTTGGTTTTTTTTTTTTTTCCCAACTTTTACCAATGGACATGTTGACTTTTTAATTAATTTTTGAAGCTGAGTCAAACACGTTGCAGAAGCAGAGTTTGTTGAAAACTTGGGAACTTGTTTATACTATGCTGGCAAGGGTAATTAATCGTAAATACTTGCTTTTTGTTTGTCACAAACTGCTCCTTTATCTAGGTTCTGTGGGTTAATATGTAGCTTTTGCATTGTGTGCTTTGTGTCTATCACCATGAAGTTTGGTGCTACAACACGCCTAAGTTAGGGTGATTCTTCTTATCGTTGTTTCTAATATAGAATTCGTCTTCAGTTAACTGACTATTGCAAACTTTCTGCTCAGATTTTGAAATTTCTTACAAAGTTCATCACCTAGCCCGGTATTATCATCAAGAGGAGCAAGGTAAAACATTCGATTCACTTGACAGACTTACTGGTGGTGAGACGGGAGGAATGCTCATCGTTATCTTTTTTCGTTTAGACTGGAATTAATGCCAAGGCTTAGAGGGATGTTCCCACCAGAGATTTTTGTTTAATGTCTTACACCACAATGGGTACAAACATATTTATTCAGCCCATCACAATTTTGTTGAAAACTTAAGTGATGACTATATATTTCGTTTGTCTTTCTCTTTGAAGTTTTTGTGTTGTGAAAGCCAGCAGAGTTGGCATGTAAGAGTCGTAAATTTTAGAATCGATCATATACATTATAGCACCCCATTGCTTTCGTGTCTGATTTTCTTCCAAGTGACTATCGTGCTTGCTTTTTGCTGGTTTATGGAAGGATTTTTAAGCTCAGCCGGATCTGTTCGTTCTCATCCGTTCAACTTCAACCTAAGTCGGAGTTTGCATATTTTGTTTTCGGAACGCAGCTACAATGCTAGAAGACTTTTAACATGCAGTTTGACAGGATACTCACACTAGGGGGAGGGCCCACAATTTTTTGGAATTTTTTTATTACAGTGGGTTCCATGGCAATGTGAGTGTCTGTCAAAATCCATGTCAAAAATTTCCTGGCACAACAGCTTTGTTCTTGTTTTCGGAAGCTGCCTTCCCCCCTCCGAGTAATTTTTTCGTGAGTAATGCATGTTCGGGTGGGTTGATAAGCTGCTTATTTAAGGAGGTTTCAGTAAATAAATCCACACAAGAACTGATTTTTCATGCCCAGCTTAGATGTTAGAACTAAGAACAATTTTGCAATGTAGTTAGGTGGTTTGCTTAGTGCTGATGTATATTGTACTTTTAGTTAGGAATGTCATAAGAATCAGATCGAAGCATGTTTGATTTAAAATTTTGATAAAAGGTCCAAAATGTAAATCGATTACACGTAGGAAAACTGAAAACATAGAAGCCATTAAAAGAAATTTGTAATTGGCAGGTATCTGGTATCCCCACAAAATGAATAAATGGTTATGTTACATGTACATAAAGTTTGACGGATGATGAGATGACATATATTTTGAAATTTAATTTGAATAAATAGGTCAAGTCGAACCAACTCAAGTGGCTTTATAAGATTGCCATTTGTTACATGTGTGCGCTGATATTTAGCTTGTCGATCATGTGAAAGTTGTTCAGCGCTTGGCGTGAAGTACTTTTGTAAGTTTCCAGTGTTTACGTAAATTTATCTCTAAATGTATTTATTATTTTATTTATTTTCTCGTAAATAAGCAATGGAAATAACAAATTCATTTTTTCGATAAAAAACAAAATAAAAGACGAATTTATTTATGGAACCACGTTGTTTTCTTCTCCAATATAAGAGAATAAAATAAAACTAAAACCCATACTATAATTTTCAAACAAATGTGGTGCCGGCAAGGAAATAACGAAATTGCCGAATCGAGATCCGACGACCGTGTCTTCCCGTCAATATCGGGAAACTCCTAATCCAACGGGTCATATACGTTACAATATCCGCCGTCCGATCATCAACCTACGGCTCATATCAAACTATGTGGGCTCCACCCAATCCTTTCCCCTAGACATACAAATAAACCCCACATAAAACCATGTCCACCCTGAACAATTCTTAAACAATATTCTCCCTCTCACACACTGTGGTATTGTGTGTGTTTTCTTGTTTCAAAAAATTGCTCTGAATTTGCTATCTTGCTCTCTTTATCCTACGAACTATCGCCGGAGATGAAACCGGCGTCGGAGTATATGATAAGAAAATCGAGGTACAGGAGAGGTAACCCTCTAGCTAAAAAGATCGACAGCTAGGATTTTTTCAGTGGATCTCACTGTCAAGAATGGACGGTCAAAAGCTTACTAGGAACCACTCATCACTTCTCCGGTCATCCCCCACCGTCCGGTCATCCATCCACAGCTTTTCTTCAATGAACGAGATCACACCTAATGAAGAAATAGACGACCTTGAAGAACAGAAACCCCACTGCAAGCCCGTTTCGCCGCCTGTTCGGTCTGGTTCAGTGCGTCTAACTCCGATTCTTGCCATACTGTTCCTCTATGTATACACACTTTTCGCCTTCTTCAACAAGGACGACATAGCCACCTCGGAAAATCTGCTATTAGGGCTTATTTTCGTTGCGGTTTTACTTTTCTTCGCATCGAAAAATAAGTCAATAATCCAACGAAGCTTCAGTTTTTGTAAGGAATTGTGTTATGAGTATGGAAAAAAAGTTGGGTTCCTCTGTTTCACCTCAAAGAACAATGAAAAATCAGTGAAATGGTTCATTGGTGAATCGAAATTCGATTATAAAGAGAATGCTAAGAATATTATAAGAGAAGGAGTGGAATTTTACAGCAATGGAGATTACTATGAAGGTGAGTTTCACCATGGTAAATGCAATGGGAGTGGGGTGTACAATTACTTTGCGAATGGGAGATACGAGGGCGACTGGATTGATGGGAAGTACGATGGGTATGGAGTGGAGAGTTGGTCGAGAGGGAGTCGATACCGGGGGCAGTATAGGCAGGGATTGAGGCATGGCTATGGAGTTTATAAGTTTTACACTGGGGATACATATGCAGGGGAGTGGTGTAATGGGCAGAGTCATGGGATGGGAGTGCAATCCTGTGCTGATGGGAGTTGTTATATTGGAGAGTTCAAATGTGGGGTTAAACATGGCCTTGGTTCTTATCATTTTAGGTGAGAATTGATGTTCTTTAATGCTTGTTTCTATCTGTTTGATTTTGTTTTACCTGATCTTTTTTCGTAATTTTTGAGTTAAGAATTGATGTTTTTTTATGCTTGTTTCTATCTGTTTGATTCTGTTTTTTGTTATTTTTGAGTCCATATGTGAATCTTGTTGGACTGTGTGGAGCCTAACCTAGTGTAGATAGCTGAAAATTTGCAGCGATAAGTGGATGACCATCTCACATCGAGGGTGAACCACTATTAAGTCGTACGGGCTTTCTTCATTCTATGATGGAGTTAAGTTCAAGGTTTAATCAAAGACAAATCTTGATCGTACATGTGATTGGTTCTATGTTTGATCTGATAAAATTTGTGTTGGTGTTTCTTAATAATGTTGTTTGAGACGACACTGTTTGGTTACAAATTTTGTGGGAGGATTCTAGTTTTTACGCGTGGTCTTTGTAATCGGATTATACCTTATATTGTTTCGGTTTTGTATGAGAGTAGTTGCCGGAAAATTTTCGAGTTCATATCTTTTATTTGTTGATAGGTGGAACGATAGATGGTTCTGATTATTTTGACTTTTTTGGGATTTCTATTCATAAATTTTTGAAGGAACTTGAGAATAAACATGAAATTTGATTGTCTTGTAGAAATGGAGATAGATATGCTGGTGAATATTTTGGAGATAAAGTCCATGGTTTTGGCGTCTATCACTTCTCGAATGGTCACTGCTATGAGGGATCTTGGCATGAAGGACGAAAACAAGGTTATGGCATGTATACTTTCCGAAGTGGTGAGACGAGATGTGGCGAATGGGATGGTGGTAATCTTAAGACGTCCCTTCCTCCGCTAACTGATGCAGTTCTGCGAGCTGTTCAGGTAACAATAAGGTTACTTCTCTAGAAAATAAGTATGAATTGACTAACTTTTAGCACAACCAAATATGCTCCTATGTTCACTCTTAACTCTTGTATTGTTCCAGGCTGCTAGAAAAACTGCGGCAAATGCAATAAAACCCTGCATGGTTGATGAACAAGTGAACAAGGCTGTTAAGGCTTCAAACCGAGCTGCCAATGCCGCCAGAGTTGCTGCTGTTAAAGCTGTTCAGAACAGGATTGATGGAAAATTCTGCGATACTGAAGTTTAAGGTATAAGTATTGTCCGTAAATGTAAATCTTCTAAGTTATTATTGCGTAAAAGGTATATGAGCACCCTGATAAGCAAGAGCTCGTCGGAGGTTGAGCGTATGTTGTGGTTTTGTTTAGACTAAGTAATCTGTACATAGTTCAATCATACCTCAATGAAAAAAAAAAAGCAAATTTTCAGCAAGTTCTTATTTTGCTCAATTTTACTTGCTAGTTGCTGTCATTTTTCGCTTGATTGTGATATTGACGGGATATCATAAGACTTGAAAAAGTAATAAAGTTACATCTACAAACAAATAAAGGATTTATATCATAAGATTCGTATACTTTGGAATGACTATGAAAAATATGGGAAGAATTGGCAATGAAATGACATCGACAAACAAATTTTCCTCGACCCTTGTTTAGTTTGAGAAGGGAAAAGTAAAAGAACTAATTCAAAATCCTCAAAGGGGAATGAATCAATAATTGAACATTTTTCGTCACTTTGTTCAATTATCATTATGCTTTTTCGAGGTCTAGTAAATTAGATTCTCTCGCTGTGGTCCATATTTCGTTTTCGAACTATATTTTTCCATGCATATTATAGAGATCAATCTATACATTATACAAGCAATGCGCGAAAAATGAATGGTTGATCTCAACACGTTATGACACGATACGCTGAATTTTATATGAATAAAATAGAGCATATGATCTAATTCAGAATAATAAACATGGTATTGTCGGCCTCCTTACAATTTTAATACAGCAAAAAATACGTCGAAGTTTCAAATATATATAATAAAAATGGAAACACGTTATGTATATATATTAATAAAAAAAAGCCATTTACTTTATGTGGGGTGTCCATAATTCATTAAACTTGTGAGCCCTCATGTGCCCTTTTCATCTTCAAGTAGAATAATTTAAAAGATTGTTCATTATTCTTAATGCAAGCACATGATGGAGTGGAGTGGGGTAGCGATGGGGTGGTCTTTGTTCAGATCTGAAACCTTTTTTAGACGCATGTTTGATCCATAATCTACGTTTCATCAATTTTTTGAAGTAAGAACTTTTGCTCCTTTTTCAATATTCAAATAACAGCAATTTCCCTTGTACAGAGGAAATGTTGCCAAATTTTCAACAAATGTGGCAGCATCTATTTGGTCTGTTTTTATTTTTTGTCATTTTCCAATAAAAAACTGTCGAGTATATTTTGTAGAAATTTTGGCAACAATTTTCTGTACACATAGCAGGGCTGAATCAAAAGAAGGGTCTGCAGATTTTTGTTCTTTGCTTAAAGATTTGCTTTATCCACCATCTCAGATTCAGATCTCATGCAATTTTATCAAACTTCAAACTTTTCCCTCACGCATTGGCAAAAGTAAATCAGTAAAAGCACTTCTAGTTAGCACTTGTGCTTGAACATGTTTGAGTATAGTTCATTTTTACTTTTTCTTACCTTATTGTGAAAATAACTAATTTATTTTTAACTCTGATTGATAAAATATTACTTAAACTTTGCATTATGATATCTGTACATAAAAATAGTACATAATGAATTACATAAAATGATGTGGAGGGAAAAGATTAAGAGCTCGTTTGGTATAAATTAAAATTGAAAAACTAGCCGTTATTGTTGACTTTTATTAGACTAGTGGGGTTTAATAACGGCTATATTTTCAATTTTAATTGGATTTTAATCGGTACCAAACGAGCTCTAAATAAAAAAGTTGACTGTATTTTAAACTAACAAATGATAAAGTGACAAATAACATTGTGTAATCCCTTATATATACATTTGTGTACGTGTAGCATGATCCCTTAACTTTTATGTAGGTATTGTGGTAAAAACTATATTGTCAACATGTTTGGAAAGTTCATCCACTTATTGGAGAATTAAATTGTACTAACCAATGTTTAAAAATCAGCCTCAACATTTCCCCCGAAAAGGTAGAAGCTCAAGGGTCGAACTAAGGTGTGTTAAGGGATAAAATCTCATATCGAATAAAAATGAAAAATATAGATCAATTTATAAGAGTTTGAGCGACTCCTCTTAATAATGTTGACTTTTTAAGATGAAACCTTAAATCTTAACATGATATCAGAGTCCATTAAACTCCAACGAGCAATTCGATCGGATTAAGACTCAAAAAAATTGAGCACACAGATTTTAAGATTTGTCTGTTCAAACAAACCACCATCTTGCGAGGCATGTTAAGGGATAAAATTCAACATTGAATAAAGATAAAAACATAAACCAATTTATAAGAATTTGGATTACTCCTCTTAATAATGTTAACATTTTAAGATGGAACTCAAATCTTAATATGGTATCAGAGCCAATTAAATTTTAACGAGTTATTCGATCCGATTAAGGCTCAAAAAATTGAGCACGCGAATTTAAAGATTGGTCTACTTAAATGATCCACCATCTTGTGGGGGCTTGTTAAGGAATAAAATCTCATATCGAGCAAAGATGAAAAACATATACCAATTTATAAGAGTTTGGACGACTTCTCTTAATAAAGTCGACATTTTAAAATGGAACTACAAATCTTAATAAGGTGATAAAGATTTTAAAAAATGAAAGATTCTTCTTTTCTTTTTAATAATGAACTTGTAAAAAGGGGTTCCGATTTCTCGAGTGAATAAAATGTGCTCTTGAACTCTTAGGGTCTGTTCTCTTTATCATTTTCAAGCCGTTTTCTATTTTTGATTTTTCAAAACAGTGAAAACGCGTTCTTTTTTCTATTTTCGAAAACGCATTTTTGAAAACAAGTTAAAAATTTATAAAGAAAACCCAAAACGATTTGTCGTTTTTGGTATTTTCAGTTATAATCAAGTCAAAATTTTCAAAACGCGTTTTGGATGTTTTCAAAACAATTTTTCAAAATGCCAAAAAGAACACATTTTCAACAATCTCAAAATGAACACTCAAAACATAAAACTTAAAATGAATTCAAAACTCAAAATACCAAACTAAAACACAAAGAGAACAAACCCCGTAACAACTGAAAAATTGAAAGAACCAATCCGGTCGAATATTTACAAAGTTAGTACGAGCTAAATAAGAAGCTGAATAAATATGTTATACTAATTTACAAAGTAAACATGAGATCAAACACGACAAGCCATACACAATCATTAATAAAAGTTGCTTCTACGAACATAAGACGTGTAAGAATATTATGTATCAAAATCACAAAAAAATAAATAAATAAACAAAAAAAATAGAGGTTTATATATTATCGTCTATCATCCTCTATCATCACAAGGTTAACAAATTTCCACGTCAACGATCACAGGTTGCCATTATCTCAAGCAAAATTCTTTTGTAGCTTGGGACTACACATCAGCCATGACTTAGCCATTTTCTTTAAAAATATTTTATCATTATATATATATAATTTATTAATGTGTTGAATATCTGTCCCGTATTTATTAATTAAATTATTTGTTGGTTACTTAGAAATTAGAATTGATGAAAATAGTGAATAAAATATTGGTAGTGTGTCTGTTTTGGTCACCCTGAGAGGGTGATATCTCTGAACTCTCATTATCACAATACTTGCTTTGAATTATTTATTTATTTATTTATTTTGAGGGATTTTATTGCATTCTTGAATCTCAGATAAGGTCAATGTTTAAGACAGCTTCTATATTATCTTCTTGTTTTTATTTTATTTTATTTTATTTATAGGAGTAAGTAAAAAATTCAAACGAGTAATTTGATTATAGTCGAATTTCAAAATTGATAGTCTGAACGAGCCACTAATTTGTGGGTATATATTAACAGGTATAAAAGCCCGAGCTATCTTCGTTAACAATATTGACGATTTAAGATAGAACTCGAAAATTCAATCTATATATAATATATGTGTATCTTTTTGAATTGAAGTCCTTCAAAGCAAAAAAATAAAGTGAATTAATGCAAATGGGATTTCGAATTTTAAATTTTTTAATGTTTCACTTACCATTAGGAAAAAAAAATTTGAGTAAAATATTAAGCCCTTAATTTGTGATTGCCATTATGCATATGGGAGAATTTTATAAAAATGTTTAATTTATTATTATTTTTAATTTAAATAATTTTTTTTTAGATTTTTCTAATTAATTATTGGATAGACATTATTGATGCAAATGCATTGATTCTTTATTATCATCATTGTGGGAATTCCCTCTTGCTGGCTGTCCCCATCTTATCCAAGTCATGGCGTATTTTGTGGAATGATGTCAAGTGCTTTGAACTCCTAATATTATGATTTAGAAGATATCATCAATAATAGCAATTATTAGATTCTTTTGCAAGATATATACACATACATACACACATGTGTGCTGTGTGTCGTATGCTCGCATATATCGTACAACAAACAAACTCAAAATCAAATGAATGCGAGACGTTTCAAGATAAAAGGAACGAGAAAAAGAACCAACGAGAAATGGATAACATAAATCGTAAATATGAAAAAGTGTGAGGGAATTCTCAACTCGAGATATTAGGAGCCCAAAAGTCAATGGGTGTCGAACTACTAAAATTGCAATCGCCGAGCTACTATCAATATTTGAAAACTTTCTTATATAGTTCATCTATTCATTTCATGAAGTGAAATTCATCATTAGTTAAACAATCATTTAGTTACTATGCACACAATAAACTGCGCTTAGAATACTAATCCTTTTATCAATTTATGAGAAATTAAGTGACCAATTATGACAATGGTAAGTCACCTAATTTTTGGTCAAATGAAGCAATACATTAATAATTGGGGCCACAAAAATTGCCATCCTTAGTTCTTCCCTTCCTCCCAAGAGGCTGAAAATGATACTCAATTCTTACAAGAAACTCTCAATTTGACTTGTTCCTATGTTTTTGGAGTGACCTACAAGAATGAATATTCTTTAAGTTTGGAAATGGTTCGACTAACTCATAGAAGTCATATCACATGAGTAGTACTATTTAACATCACTGATGTTTAACACCAGTTTATACTTTCTTGTAATTTGCCAAGCATATTAAGCTACTCGGATCCTAGCTTTTTACTAGTATATTAGAACTTATTTGAAATCATTTTAAGATTAACGAGTGAAATTTGAATAAAAAACTAATCGAAATATTAATCTTGATTCGAGTTCTCAATAACTAGCTAAACAAATTTGACTCAAATATATAACAATTCAAATTATCAATATAGTTGAAAAATCGAGGTACTTTTGAAATTCATCTAAAAATTTTAAAATAATCGAGGTTTATTTTTCAACTCAAATTGACTCGACTTTATGCACCCTTGTGATAAATAGTCAGCTCTTTCATTGAAAGATGAATAGTTGTCTTAGATGACAGAAGAGTTGAAAATTCTCATTGATTTATTCAAGTTCTTGGTAGACATAGGTACATAGATGGTGATTGTTTCATAAATTTCCAACCTTTCTTTACTAGGTCAATATAATGTTCAAAAGTAGTTGCCATTTTGACAATAAATATTAATGAAAATTAATTTAAAATAATTTTAGTAGGTTTATTTTTGATGGAGTATTTAAAAAAAAAAAAAATTGGTAGTAAAAAATGTCGTTGCAAAAATATAGAATTGATTTAAAGCTCACCATAGTGTCTGCTTCGTATCAACAATCGAGTTCTTAGACAAATTTTGGAGAGCCAGTCGATTTTAAGCCAATGAGACAACATAATCAGTGTTAAACTCATTTACCTCAAACATGTACATATTATTTTTGGAACATGTTCATTTTTAAAGTGATATTGTTCTGTCTACCGTTCGACTGTAAAATATCATAGTCAACCTTAGTGGTGAATTAGGCATATAGCGACGTATACCACATGCACATAATCGTTAAAATCCTTCGAGATGATTCAGGATGAATCGTATCTGTAAAGAAAATATTTTTAGTTGAGTATCAAGTGGATTAAATAATCTATTAAGCACTGGATGCATTCGTGTTCATTTCTCTCCACTTTTTTGGGCTACCCTGATTGACCTGTTATGTCTTTACTTATCCGTGCCTAAAAAATCTGGTTCTTGATCACTCAAAGAGGACCCAATACTTCTAGGAATAACATCAAAACTAACCTACTATTCTTCAGAAAGCTTTAAAATACCCCATTCTACTTTTTTTTCCCCTCAAAATCTCTTTTTTATTAAAAATTAAAATTTTATATTTACCTATTTTATAATTTTTTTAATATACATTCTTATAATTTAATATCAATATTTTTAATTTTCCATTGAAAACTAATATTTTTTAAGAGTTACATGTTAGGATAACGTATGTACCACTATGTTACTTGTAGAGTACTGTTAAGATATTATTTAAAGAAACACGTCTTTTAATCTATCATTTAACTATTTTCATTGAATAATACTGCTCTACCAGGCCTGTAAAAGGCCTAGTAGAGCAGTTGCTCTCACATGAGGTGGGTCCCGAGGACCCACCTCAGAGCAGCTCGGTCCATTTTCATTTGTAGAGTGTCATGTAGTGATTATGTGGAACATGAATTATGGTATAACTACTAGGAATTATCTTCAAATTTGAGAGACAATTGGTGACAGAATGTCATAAAATGATTAAATTTGATAATAAATTGAAGTTCAACGAACCAATTGAAACGAATTAAAGTTTAGTCATAGTAAGTTATTTGACCGAAATTTAACCAGATACATATAGATATAGATAGACAGAAAAGGGGTAGGAAGTTCCTACAATACTAGGATATAATTGCCATTTGAAAAAGATAAAATAAACTAAATTGAATCCGTAAGCAACTTCATACTGTCTCCATATGACAATTCTGACTATCTGAGTGTTCAATGTTTCGAGAAATTGTATCTCAAGATAGTACAAATTTTCCCTTTCGAAGTAACATGTCTATCACACAATGGAACCAATCTAACACAAGCCATTCAGCCAGAAGAATAAGAAAAATGATATTGATAAGAAGTCCTCTGCATTGCATATTACACCAGTATTCTGAAATGTATAATGGAAATAGTAACAATCATGTACTCGAAACTTAGAACGTGATTTGTGAAATGTACTAATTACTCAAAACTTGGAACACGGTTTCTGATACGCGCATGTGTTCGAGGGGTGTTCAATGTTTCGAGAAATTGTATCTCAAGATAGTACAAATTTTCCCTTTCGAAGTAACATGTCTATCACACAATGGAACCAATCTAACACAAGCCATTCAGCCAGAAGAATAAGAAAAATGATATTGATAAGAAGTCCTCTGCATTGCATATATTACACCAGTATTCTGAAATGTATAATGGAAATAACAACAATCATGTACTCGAAACTTAGAACGTGATTTGCGAAATGTACTAATTACTCAAAACTTGGAACACGGTTTCTGATACGCGCATATGTGTTCGAGGACAGTTGAGTAGAAACGCTGTTTTTCTTTTCTTCGCATTAAA